TATTTAGATATGTAAAATATTATACTACCTGCAATAGTAATAGCTGTATTTTCACTGTCAATGGCATCCTCAATCACCGACTTATTTGCTGCTTTACAAACTTTCAAATGTTTGTTTATCCGATTCTGGGTCTTTTGATCTCGTAAAGCTAAAAGATTCTGAAAAAAAGTATAACTTGTCAAATACTTGGAAATTTTTTTAGGAAAGATCATGGAAAACCTTTAAGCAGGAAAGACGGTGGGATAGAGTTAATATCATATATAGCAAAATGAAAGGTTATTTCTTAAACCTTTTTTGTTAATAACTTTTTAACGAAGGACAAATGCTGGCTAAAACCTGTTGGAAATTACTCAGAGTCATGACATACGAGTATGTTAAAGTCATTGGAGATCTCCCCTAATGTATATAGTAACTTAATAATACAAAGTTTTAAAATTTAATTATTCATACAGATGTACAAATTCAAGGCTTTAATTTATCTGGAGATAATATAGCGTTGTACAGCTTTGAAGTTACATTAAAACCTGGAATGTCGTGAACAACATAACAATTATTCTTTAGAAAGCTAGAGTACCTGCTAACTTCCATAATGAAGGTTTTAGGAACTATTTAACACGGTCTACTATACTATTCGCCCAAAGTGAGGCTACTGCAAACTATCTATGTTTAATTTGTTGCCCTTTAATATACTCTAGTTTAAATCTAAACAGTTTAAAAAAAGATCTTTCTTAGAAATCAAGTTACTAACAAATAAATTTTGGAGACAGACGGAAATCTCCTCTCTTCGAAATCAAAATTTTTAATTACTTTTCTTCCTAGAGAAGCCCTTTTTAAAACTTCTTACATATGTTCTAGGAAATATTAGAAGGGCACTTGTCCAGTTTAAAAAAAGAGGCTCCTCTTAAAAATCAATTTTGAAACACAACCTTTATAATCAAAATTTAAATACTAATCGGGCTCTCGAAATTAAAAAACAATAATAGGTATGAGGTAATGAGAGCGTTAACACAGCGCGGGAATTGGTACGCAATTTATATAATAGTCAAATAATATTCACGTAATATATTAAAATTGTACAATGACTGTTGATACAAGCTTATTTGGATGTTTCAGTTTTCTTCAAACCATCTTCAACAAATTCGTATATCATTATCATAGAGGTCTTGATAATCTTTATACCTTCAATTAAATTTCACTTCTCAGAATAAAAAGGAATGTGCATTCAACTGAGTCATGACATCATAAATAAAAATTATCTGAATTTTGATGAAAATGAAAAGCAACTATCTGAAATTTATTCGGGATTTGGTGTGAAACATACTAAGAACGGTTCTGAGAGATTTTACTCAATTATTTTATTGTAAATCCATGTTTCCCAGTATATAAGAGAATTCATAATTAAAGCCTTTATATTCCTAATGCAAGTAATTTACTTTTTATCCTTTTCTAGTTCTAAAAATTAGAAAAGGATAGAATAAGTTATACCAAGATTAAAATTACTCTACATTGATAACAATGGACATAAATGGAGTAATTTCTGCAAGTGGGGAGTGCAATAAGTAATTATCAAGAATAACAATATATGATTCTATATTGTAATGTCTATAACATGATTTTAAAAGGTTTCTTAAGAAAAAACAAAAAAATATATATGTTCCAAGATGTCTTATAATAAAATTTTTAAAGATATGAACAATCAAATACAAGACTTTTCTAAAGAACACAAATTGTAACACAAAACAAAAAAATGTTGTTAAAGCAAAAGATATTTTAAAAATAAAAACTTGATGCTGTTAAAAGCTTAAAATATCCATCTCACCATTGTACACATACTCAAAAATCATGTAAAGAGAGTACAAAATATAAATATAAATAAATTATTCAGACACTAATATAGCAATCTTTTATTATGTATTTTAACTCACTTCCTTTTTCCTTTTTTCCTCAAAGGCTTTTTGTTTCTCCTCCTCTTCTTTCCGAGCTAAAAATTTCTTGATATTATCGGAAAGGGTTTTAGATTGCTTAGATTGTTTCTTCAGTGGTGTAAATTTTGTTTGGTAGCATGGAACAGTCTGCTGAAAAATAAATAATATTTCAAGAAGGATGGTCCACCGAGAGTAAAAAGCATCTAAGCTAAACTGATCATTATTTGGGCTGTGTTTCGTTTCAAGCATGATGCACATGATGCATCATTTATCCTTGTTATTCATTGAATGTTAAATAAGGATAAATGATGCATTATGCACGTCATGCATGAAACAGAATGCACCCTTGGCTACATCGACACTTTACATTCGCCAGTTATAAACATGATGTAAGGAAACATGGTTGTAAATATAATAAATAAATATAGGGAGCTTTCCAGCAGAGGCACAAATTGACACAAGAGTCATCCTATCTTTGTTTCTTACCGATTATCGAACAGGATGACTCTTGTGTCAATTTGTGTCTTGCTGGAAAGATGTTAACAATATGGACTAACCTGTTTTTTTACTTCATTCTTTTGCGCGACAGAGATCAGAGTGCCAAAATCCATTTTATTGGCGACGACGACGATCATAAATAAAAAAACAGCCAACTTGCGATTTTACGAAATTGTCATGCGTTTAAATTAATGGATATTCTTCTGGGATCAAGTTTAAGTTAAGATTAATTATTCGACAGATTAATTGTTGATAGGCACGTCAGTGAAGTTTTTAACGTTCTAAATATTTTAATAAAAAAAGAAAAAGCTTTTAACGATTAACAGCGATATTAAAAGCTCTCTGCTTGAACATATTGTTGATAAATACTTCAAAAAGTCTCCATCTCCATGAAGCTACCGAATCACGATGTGAATAAAGGTTACAAAACTCTCTATAAAAATATACAATGACGTTATCAATACATGCTTTAATTATACTTAACTACGCGCATCAAAACGTACCAATGCCAATTAACAATAATAAATAAGAATAAATAAGAGTCTTTTACAGTTCCTCACGTTTAACAGAGAGAACTACAAATCCTCCATCTTGTGGCTAGCCAGGGATGAGTAGATGGGTGATGATGAAGTCATAAAGTGTTCGCTGATTAATCAAAATGATCGATAGTTTCTTCCTTACTCGATGTATCGAGGTATTCGATTATTCGTGTCAGGGTGCGAACATGAGGTCTGTTCGCATTGCATGCATTTTTTGTACTCAGCATTTTCGCTTTCGCTCTTTTTAACATCTTGTTTTAGGGCCACTGTCACCAAGCTCAGTTAACTTAACTGGCCAGTTAGTCTATCGGAATTGACCAATCGCATTTGTCATTTTGTTTGCTTCAAAATGGCTGCGTTCAGCAGAACGTTTGTTTTGCAACTGTTGGAAGTTTCCTTTGCGCTGATTGGATCATACTTTTAGATCTAGAAGAATGGTCCTATCTCAGCAGACAATCATAAAACGGTTGCAAAACTGTTGAGTCTGCTGAACGCAGCCAATGCTTTGAAAATCAAATTGCTTTGAAGCAAACAAAATGACACAAATGCGATTGGTCAATTCCGATAGACTAAGGGTGAAATCACACGGTGCGGAAAAAGACTGCGGAATAGAGAATGCGTCATCGAAGCAACCAATCAACGCTATTCAGCGTTATTCGAAATAGCGCTGATTGGTTGCTTCAATGACGCATTCTCTATTCCGCAGTCTTTTTCCGCACCGTGTGATTTCACCCTAACTGGCCAGTTAAGTTAACTGACTAACTGGCCAGTTAAGTTAACTGAGCTTGATGACAGTGGCCCTTATTCCTTTATTGTAGACCGAAGCATTATTATCCATATGTCGAAATTTAATTCCCTATTCCTAATATTTAATTCTCTATTCCTTATTCCTTCTATTGTGGCCGTACTTAAGCCTCTAAAGCTGGTTCTACATTAGTCGCATCGTAGTGTCGCAAGCATGTCGTAAGTGTTGCGGTCCAATCAACATCAATCTAGCTCTACTCTGATGGACCACAACGCAAGCATGTCGCTGCGATGCGACTAATGTAGAATCAGCTTAATGTAGAACCAGCTTTAGGAGCTGTAAGCTTATTGGCTACCGCGTCACATTTTGCCGCGCGGTAAACGTTTCTGCGTCCAGTGCAGGAATCATAATGTAGAACCAGCTTGAAGCTGGTCTACATTAGTCTCATCGCAGTGTCGCAAGCATGTCGCAAGCGTTGTGGTCCAATCAGAGTCGAGCTAGATTGATGTTGATTGGACCGCAACACTTGCGACGCTGCGATGCAATTAATGTAGAACGAGCTTAATGTGAAGATGCTGGTCCGTATTCAGAACGCGCTTTTATCGATAAGAGAATGCATCGTTGTAAGCGCATAACATCGTAAGCATAACATCGTTGTAAGCGCGTTCTGAATACGGGCTGCTGAGTGTAATGCGGGGTCTACAATAGAAATCGGAGCGATCGTAGGGTCTTAAGTCATAGAGAATTGACCAATCATAGTCGATTATTCTTCTCATATTCGACTGTGATTGGTTAATTATCTACGACTTAAGACTCTACGACCGCTACGACTTTTAATGGGTGCATTGGCTGCGTTCAGCAGAAAAAGCAGCTTTGCAACTGTTGTAAAATTCTTTAATATGATTGGCTTTACCCTTAGTTCCTTATTGGATCTAAATGTATAAACCAATCATATTCAAGAATTTTACAACAGTTGCAAAGCTGCTTTCTCTGCTGAACGCAGCCATTCAGTACTACAACCGCTCACTGAGCGCTCAATGAGCTCTTGAATCTGTTTGGTCTATATTTTTAGTTCTAACGGAATATGCCAATCAGATGCAGTAGACCCCGTATCAGATTTTTATTGTAGACCCCGCATAAAAAGTGCATGCAACGCGAACAACTTCGTATCAAGTGCAAGATGTAAACTAGATCATAGACCGTTTGGCAACACTGAACAATACTAGATGAGAGAAAATAAAATCACTAGCCCGCTTATAGTCTGCTACGTCCGCGCTGTCAAATATACTCGTTCACGCGTGTACTGAGTAATTGATGAGAATAAAGTCACGCATAAATAAAGTGACGGATACTACGTGGAAAGGAAAGAGGGACGGCTACCCGAAGTGTATCCTACTACGTTACGTGTCAAGCATGTGGTATCGTGGTAAAGGAGCGGCTTTCGCGTAGCGCCTTGTCCGCGTATCCGTCGTCTCGCATATGTACGGAGCAAAATGTGTTGAGAGGAGCAGTTAATTTCCACGATAAATTAAACGTCGACGATATTTCTGCTCGCGTCAGGTACCGCCTCCCTTTTGCACCTGAAAATTCCTGTGATTAATTAACATCGTCGATTCGTTTCGATGCGCCTTGTTCTTTTCGTTCTGTATATTATTATTGAATTGTAGTTGTTCTCTTGTACTTTAGGAATTTTACACTGTAAACATTAAGATCTCGCGGCGTATTTACGAAGCGTATTTACGCGTTCGTAATTTTCATAGACTTGCACAGTCAAAGTTCTTTAACTTTAAACCGCTTCCTCGATTGCAGGATTTCATGGGGCTTTCGATTGCGAATATGTTTTGAAGAGAAGATGCCATCTGAAACAGATGCCATGGGCAGTGTTTTCAAGGAAGAAGAGGACACTGAGAAATCTAACGAGCAACCTGTCTCATTAATGACCTTAAATTCTGAGAATAAAGACTCGATTGTATCTGCGAAACATATAGATACTCATCTGGCCAATGCTAATGGTGACAGGGTATCCACATCAGATGATAGAACCAAGTTCTTGAACTCGACTGATGAAGATGCAGTATCTACGACAAGTGATAGCTTTGTAACGACAAATAACTTGCTTGAAGCAGAGAATTTATATTCCCAATCTAAGACAACAGGTAATGTCAATATCAATTTTGTAAATAATTTTAAGTATTCACATTTTTATCAACATATAAAGAACTTTTGCAAAGTTCTTATTTAATCTTTAGATTCAAAGGATGATAATAAAGATGTATTATCTTGAAAATTTTAGATAGATTTTCGGTACTGGTTAAACAAACTGAAGAAAATGATGATATAGGTACTACATGCAACAACGTGGTACAAAATTTGAGTAAAAAATCAATTTTTCTTGCTCATAGAAATTTATCCAGAAAGAAAGGCTTGTTAGCAGAGAACATTTCTGAAATTCATTGTGATGCTTCAGAATTGGCAGCCTGTTCTAACAATATTCCAGATGGGAAAGCTTATGGATTTGAAAAGAGTTATAATATTGACGTAGAAGAATGCAGTAATGAATCAAATACAGGGAATCTGTGTAATAATAATACAGATGTTTCATCGGATACTAGGCACAAATTGATCCAAGAGACAATACCCTTACACATTTGCAAACAGTCTTTAAAAGATGATGATTCTGATACGAGTCATTTAAGTCTTGTGAATATATTATTAAAAACGTCTAGCAATGACGATAAAGATTGCAAGATAGATCATGAAAGTAATGAAAGTAATTTACCGGTAGATGGATTAACGTCTCTGTCTTTAGATATATCTAAAGAATCGTTAAATTCGCAAAGTGCAACTTCAGCTAATTATAGTGATGCGACTAATGATACAAAAATATCTTTAAATATATTAGACAATAATAATAAAAATTCGCTTGAAAATGACGAAAATGAATTACCCAGTTCATCTAAACATGTAATTTGTAAAGAAATGTCAACATCACAAGACGCGGGACGTGCTTCTTTATGTCATGATTCTGTGAGTATAAGTAAACCGTTTAAACTGCCAATCTTAGAAAAAATGCCTAAAACTGCCAGTGTTCAACAATCTGAGATTGAGGAGAATGCAGTAGCACTTTTGGACTCGTCGTTTACCAGACAAAATCAATTGGAGAGAATTCGTTGCCTAGATTCGGAACCTCGTTCATCGAACAGCAGCGAGGAAAGTAATTCAGATATAGAGTTGCAACATGCGAGTATAAGTAACAATGATATCAAAAAGGTAAATAAATTACATATCTTGATTTTTTCGCAAGCTATTATTATCGATGATAAAATTTCAATCATTAAGATTTGACAACAATGTTAAGTTTCTTGTATTATTTATTATTATTATGATTCAAGAGCATTTTGTCTTATGAAAAATAAACATAAACATATAGGATAAAACATATAGGATATTGCACTGATAAGTAAAAATAATTACTAACATACCGTTGAAGTGGAGTAGTCATTTGTAAATTGTAAATATATCTCTTGAGCTTCAAAAAGTGATTTACTTTCCTGGGCTTTGGCATAGTCGTACTTTCAAGATGAATTTTTTGCTTTTTTTTTTACAATTTTGGTTTACAATTTTCTCTTAGCTTCATTCATCCATGCATACCTTACACGCACTCCTAATTTACTATTTAAACTATCTTACTACTTTACTTTATCTTATCTTACTATCTGCTTATTTCTTTCCTTTTTCTTTGTCTAGCTCGCAAAATATAAAATTGCACTACCCTATCTTAACTTATCTTATCCTACTATTAATTTGCACTACTTATACATAAATCATAGCCTTATTCTTACAGTCTTTAGTTTTCAGTTCTTATATTTTCCTCTTTTTATTGCACGGACTCATACATCTACACATCTAACTTATACTTAAAGCTTGTTCTTTCTCAGCTCTCCTTATTCTTAGTATTCGCTCTTTGTCTTTCCATAATTAGAAACGTTATTTTAAAAACGAAACTATTTTACTTTAGAGACAGTGCAGACCCAACGGAGTTGTAACAAAGGAAGGAGCAGAATATTATCAGCTGTGGCGTAGCACAGGTGGTCATTTGTCTCCCGAATCGTTATACGAAACTCTCTATCCAATGCCACCACCACTTCCACCAAGAACAGCACATCGACCATTACATAGAAGTAATGCTTTACCAAGCGGCGCACCAGAGTTACCTAAACGACATCAAAAGCATCCAGCGCCATTACATCCTGAAGATTGTTTTGGATTCGAGATTGTAGACGTTGATGAAGCGTCAAACCTTAAGGTTGAGATTATTAAATTTTATTATTATGCGATGTTGTCGCATCTAAACTATATACGGATTATTTAACAATAAAATTAAAAATACGAAAGGCTCTCCAAATAAATTAAACAATTAATTACGTTGATGTAAAAGGAATTGCCAAATGTGAGCCGACACTAGTTGTTCGTGTGTAATCCAATGTGTATATTAAAAAATGTGATATAGACGTTTCAACCCTGGTATTGGGTCCTCTTCAATGTAGAATATATGTATTTAAGATAATTTCATGTCAAATTAAAGTAAAAACGTTCGATCGTCAAAACATCGTTAAACTATTGTCGCTGTTTGAATCTTCAAATAGTCGTCTGTTATATTTTACTGAATATACAAACAGTCCAAAGAATTCCACTAAAATAAATGGTTCAAAAGAACTTTAATTAATTGTAATAAACTATATTAGTCAAAATTACTAAAAACTTACGTAGCGATAAGCTTAACGATGGTCTGTTACAAAGATTATTTAATGTTTTAGTTAAGGACAGCAGTTACAAAAAGTATCGCTCTATTAAGTTCACCGAGATCACACAGACAACGAGAAAGGCCAGAATTGACAATAGCTAGTCAAATGGAGTGTCCGCCCACACCCACACATCGACCCAGACCTTTATGTCCATTACCTGTATGCCAAACGTCAAACGTATCTTTATCCTCAGAAGAACCTCTACCTCCATGTAAGTAAATATTATACTGCATGTTTATATTTCTGTTTCTATGCATTTCTCTCAGTGTTAATTGATTAATCACTATGTATATTTCAGCATGGGAAGCGAGAATAGATAGTCACGGCCGAGTATTTTACATAGATCATATCAATCGAACTACAACATGGCAAAGGCCAAACTTGACGACACGTAATACTGGTTCCGATTTACGAAGACAACAATTAGACAGGCGTTACCAAAGTGTACGACGAACTATTTCGCGTTCTGATAACATAGATCGCGAAGCTAACGGTTCAAACGGCAATCTTTTTGATAATAGCGAGCGGCAGAATGATCGTACTGATAGAGGCGAATCTGAACTATTCGATATCAGCACAATACCACCGGTATTATTTCTAACACGGCCTGACTTTTTTACCGTACTGCACACCAACGCCGACGCCATGGAGGTGTACAACCGTAATCCAAGTTTAAAACACATGATCAATAGAGTTAGAAGAGATCCTGTAGTTTTTCCAAGATATGAACATAATAGAGATTTAGTTGCCTTAATTAATGTTTTTGCTGATTCGAACAAAGAACTCCCAAGAGGGTATGAATCTAAGCTCGATAGAACAGGCAAAGTAAGTTTTTAATTCTCAGGAGAGAAAGGCTTTGTAATCTGATATCGCATAATATTGATCATAAATATTATTTCAGAGATTTTTTATATGTCACGCTAGAAAGGCTACGTCTTTTATCGATCCACGATTACCTACAGAAGCTGCTCATATACGGACGTTGCTAGATGAAGCTCCTCTTCCGCCGCCCAGACCGCAACAATCGTCTGTAACTGCTACTCCTGAAATACCTGTAGCCTACAACGACAAAGTAGTTGCTTTTCTACGTCAGCCTAATATAATGGATATCCTAAAAGAAAGACATTCTGCACTAGGACAAAATATCGCGCTTCGAGAGAAAGTTAATACCATAAGAGTCGAAGGAACTGTAGCGTTACAAAGATGGAGTCATGATGTTCCTTTAGCATTATTACTAAGGTAGGAAACAAATGCTCCTATATATATTTTTTTTTTACTGTTATTATATATACATCTATATATAATTTATATACAGTATAATAATAATATCATGTTATTATTTTCAGTCTATTTGAGCAAGAAATAATGTCCTATGTACCTGGTAGTATTGGTAGATCTCCGCTTGGTAGCCCGCATGCATCACCTGGATTGACAAGGGCTTCTGCCAGAGCTCCCGCACTGTACAGAAGAGATTTCGAAGCTAAACTTCGAACTTTTTATCGAAAGCTAGAAAGCAAAGGTTATGGACAAGGGCCAAGTAAATTAAAGTACGTCTCAGCACATATCATCCCCGGTTTGCAAAAAAATCGCAAAGGTTCCAAACTTTTGGCCGGGGGTGTATCTGTGTGTTAAATACGATATACATTCATAAATACATTTCAAGCAATTTATCGAAAAATTTTTATGTTATCTGTACAGATTACACATCAGGAGAGAACATTTACTCGAAGATGCCTTTACGCGTATAATGGCTGCGTCAAAGAAAGATCTGCAGAAAGGTAAACTAGTGGTCATCTTTGATCATGAAGAAGGATTGGATTATGGTGGACCGTCCCGAGAATTTTTCTTTCATTTATCACGCGAACTATTCAATCCTTATTACGGATTGTTCGAATATTCAGCTAATGACACTTACACGGTACAAATCTCGCCAATGTCGGCTTTCGTGGATAACTATCACGATTGGTTCAGATTTTCGGGCAGAGTTCTGGGCTTAGCATTGGTTCACCAATATCTACTCGATGCGTTTTTCACGAGACCATTTTACAAGGCGCTTTTAAGGATACCGGCGAGTTTGAGTGATCTGGAGAGTTTAGATCAGGAGTTTCATCAGAGTTTAATGTGGATCAAAGAAAAGGACATAAGTATCGAACCATTAGAATTAACCTTTTCAGTAACAGAGGAACTCTTGGGACGAGTCGCTGAACGCGAGTTGAAGCCAGGTGGGAGAAATATTGCGGTTACTGAAAAGAATAAAAAGGAATATCTCGAGAGGGTAGTACGTTGGCGTCTTGAGCGTGGCGTCGCAGAACAAACGGAATCGTTGGTTCGCGGCTTTTATGAAGTGGTGGATCCGCGTTTAGTGTCGGTTTTCGATGCCCGCGAGTTAGAGCTGGTTATTGCGGGTGCAGCTGAAATTGACCTAAACGATTGGCGAACACACACCGAATACAGGAGCGGTTATCACGATGCGCATCCGGTAGTAGAGTGGTTCTGGAGCAGCATAAGTCGATTTACTAACGAACAACGTCTAAGATTACTGCAATTCGTTACCGGCACCTCAAGTATTCCATACGAGGGATTTGCGGCTTTGCGTGGATCGACAGGACCAAGGAAATTCTGCATAGAAAAATGGGGGAGACCAAATAGTTTGCCAAGGTAATTTTGTTCTTCTTTTAATCTGTTAACGATAACTGCATTAATGTATCCTATATTTTCCATTTTTTTATCCTTTAGGAATTCACAATATCTCTTCTTTATTATCATTGTCATTTCAGAGCTCACACGTGTTTTAATCGCTTGGATCTTCCGCCTTATCCTACGCCCGAGATTTTATACGAAAAGCTGCTGTTGGCTGTAGAAGAGACAAATACATTTGGTATAGAATAAAGCGATGAATTGAATTTGTAATTATAAAGAATTTGTACAATTGATAGGATTATAACTATCCAGATTGCATTTTCTGCTAAAAAGAATAGGACAAGAATTTGTATAGGCCTATAATAGAGTTTATAAATTATGTGGATTATTACTAATTCAATTTATTAAAATCGAATATGCGATATAAATAACTAAACAATCTGCAGCTTCACAATCTCTCAGAATTTTGGTCAAACGGTGTATTTAATTTATTATGTGAAATAACATAATTGAATTCTCTCTTCAAACTTTCACGAATCTATGTCGTTCGGTGACTATAAAAGTTCACGCTTGTTGATGCAATCGTTACGTACATACTAGGATCTCGTAAATCTCAAAATGGTTCTTTTTCAGCTTTTCTCAAGTTAGCGGAGCTAATCTTTTATGTTTCCAAATTGCCTTTGCTCCTTGTATTTTCTATCCCATTTTTAAATAAAAACAAAAATTTATTTATCAAATTTATGAAGATCTAAAGCTATAGCAATTTTGACAAGAATAATGTGTTGTAAAGATTATTACTTCTTCAGCGTGGGTTTCTAAAAAATCAAAGAAATTAATTTAGATAAATGTTGCTATTGTTGCCGCTACCATTAATATTGCTGTTCTAACTATCACTATTGCTCCTCTACTCTTATTAATACTATATACCTATTATTGATAAACTTACTATGACTGTTAGTGCTATTATTACTTCTGTTCCTATCATCGTCACTAATTTTAGTACTAATTATTTTATGATTAATTATTACCACTTTTAAGTGATCAGATCCAACATAGAATTCAAAAGATAATATTGCATCGTAATTACCTACAGCTCCGCTAATTAAATTTTATATTATGCATCTGCAGTTTTATATATATAATTCAATATCTTTATTTCGGGGTATATTGAGGTCTGAGTGTAGCACTATTAAAACATTTAATGATGACCGTCACCAGTGTTTCTAGTCTACGAATTGGAATTTCACATGCAGCTGCCTTTTAATGTATTTTAACATTCCGAAGAATCTTGTTAGTTATATTAAAAGAGTTTATAGAGCAAGATTGTTAATGCAGAAAAATAAATATCTTAATTCTGATGTAAGTAGCGATTTGAAAAAGTTCGCTAAAGAAGCACATTTATCTTACATCTACTTTTTATTGCTTAGTTATCACGATATAATGTACGACATGATGTAGATGTTTTTAAAAACTTTGCACATAATATAAAAAGCATTAAGGAATAATTCATACACGAGAAATATAGACTTATGACGATACCTTTTTATTAAGCTATTAGTACGTTCCCATACAGCACCAAAATTTTTCAAAAATATCTCAAAAATATTTCAACTGAAAAGTAAAATATTTCATAATAGTTGCGAAATATATCTGCAACATTTTTTTAGACATTTCTAGAATAGCAAAATATCCGCTATTGTTGCGCTTGAAATCTTGTAGAAAAATTGTTGAAAGATTATTGAAAAAAAATTTGCAATCTTTTTAAATATACTTTCAAAATACATTAATTTTCACCTTAAAGACCTTAGAGTCCAATTTTGAGGCCTTCAGAGAATCATCTTACTAGAATACAGATAAAAAATCTTATCATGTTACATCTTTTATTTTATTCTGTATGGATTTTTACTTATGAAAAATAAGACTCCGTCGTATTCATCTAGTAGCGCGTACTGTTTTTCAACTTCATTATATATGAAAAGTTGAAATAATTTTGAAACCTTTCTGAAAATTTTTTGCAACAATCGGTGCTGCATGAGTTATTATTTATTATTGCTATATACATAGCAAACGAAACTTATGCATTTGTACAGCTATCATATAGTAATTATATAAGAACGATAAATAAAATACAACGAATATAACATTGTGGTGTTTTTAACGAATAAGTCAATTTAATAAGTCTACATCAATTATTTCATATTATACAATTTATTTTATAATTATTAATATTATGAAATAATCGCAGAGTTAAATTGCATTCTATTTAACTGAGACCATATTTAATTAACTGTTATTTATTTCTTAAATAATCTTACACATAATGTGATATAATATTTTAAAGTTATCAATATTGAAAAAAAATTCTTCCATTTCTGTCTATAATAGGATCAAAGTGTTCCTGTAAATTCAATATTTAAATATATTTTATATGTTTATTATATGTATCATTATATTATTTTATTTAAAAAAATTATTTTCCGAAAATATATATATATTTATATACATACCTCCGTTTTAAGATAATTGAACATTAATGACTATGACACTAAAATATTGAGAGAGCGAGAGAGAGATCTTCCTATTCTTATTACTACCTTTATCACTGAATACTTCCTTAAATTAGACTGGATATTGTGACTTTGTCTTTAATCTAAGATTCTTAATATCATTCTGAAATAGATGCTTCTGTCGCATTTGATTTTCAAGGATACTCTCCAATTTCATTATATCACTTTTGTATTTCTCCTCCAACTGCAGCATTTCTTCCTGTAACAGCGATAATGTTAGTAAATGTGAAATTAAATATTTAACAAATATAAATGTGATTTACATTCGATATGATGCGTTGCTTTAACAGTTTTTGAAGTTTTGATTGCTCTTCCACTAAAAGTGTCAAAAAACTCAATTTTTGCGTATGTTCCCGGAGCAACTTGTTAAATATGCTCAATTCTTCAACGTAATTTTTTTTGACATCTATAATAAAAATATGCGAAATATATAAATTTATAAAATTAAAATACATTATAATATTATTGTAGCACATAACTTACGCTTGATTCGTTTAGTGAAATACGTTGATGCCTCACTTAAATTGGCTTTGATATCATATACTATTCGACGAAGTATCGTTTCATATAATTTATTTAAGGATAAACTCTGACCAAACTTGTTCATTATTTTCAGCTTTATCTCATCTTGCAATTTTTTATTATTGACACGCATATGATTATAATCGAGTTTAATTCTGTGGAGATGTGTTCGAGCATCTCTGCAAACACATGTATATTTCGTTCATATGGATCCTCAATATTGGCTATATTATTTATAAGCTCGCCATGTGTAAATCTTACGTACTTGTGTTTAACATGTAATTCAAGTGTTTCCTCGTATAACTGTTGTATTCTCGCGTATAATTTAGACAGTTTTTTCTTATCGAACACTACGCAATCATGCACTTTAAATGGAATTTGGGATTCGCCAAAATATTGCAACTGATGTAATTTCATTAGCACCGTAACTTGCACATTGTTTAATTTTCGCTGTTTCTCAAGCTATTGAACAGATTAAGTAAACGATATCATTTTTATATGAAAATTTTTCTTAGAATTCTTCATATAAATTTTTTTCAAATTTTTATATAAATTCAGAATTTTTCAGAATCCTGTATAATTTTATATTTAGAAAATTTTTTAGATTTGTGTAAAATACGAATTGAGGAACACTTTTTAAAAATACTGAGAAAGTCTACATCTTTCCTAGAATTCTTTAATTATTATATATGTGAATTCTGAAGTATTCCAAGATTTTTAAGAAGATATTTTATCTCATTCAATAATTTCTAAAGAAAAGAAGGATATGTTCATTTTGGCCCCCGGCGTTTCACGGTAAAAAAAACTATATATCGTTGGAAAGGTGTGACTTAGTAGAGTATGAATATCAAAGTTCGAACTCAATACTTTTGATACAAGTACCACTTCCAGCGCATGGAAAACATATATACTGACGTATTTGCATGCATGTCTTGAATACGATGCATACACAATACATGATATAGTTTACCGTGTAAAGCCGGGGGCCAAATTCTAATTAATGGACAATGAACATCTTCCTTATAAAATCTAAAAAAGTTGAAAATCTTTATCCAGAAATTTTCATAAATTTAAAATATAACATTTCTTAAAAATATTATGAGAAATAAGAATTTTTTTACCAGGGGACTGTCTTATTAATGGATTAAATATATAATACCATAAACATTTTTAAATCATCCTCATTTTTCTTCAAAACACTCTCTGCAATTTTTAGCTTCTTCATATGAATTTGAATCTCTTTATGAAGGGCCTCTATAACTCGTTGCGCATCCTTAATTTGATATTCACGCGCATATCGTGTTTCTCTTATCGAAAATGCCAAGTCATACATTGTTTTATCACATCCTGGCGGACATACGTTTTCATCGAAATAAATTAATTCGGATTCTCCATTATCAACATCGTCCGTTTCTTCTGAATCCGTTTCAGTCGTTGTAGTAGTCTCTAAAGCAATAATAAATAACTATTAATTATACACTTTAATTATACATACAGGGTGTGCTATAAGTTTGGATACAGTTGAATATCTCGTAAACAGAACATTTTTGAGAGAAATGTTTCATACACAAAAATTATAGGGTTTCAACAAGTGCATCAAAATGATTCAACAAGTGGCATCTAACGACAATATCCGTTTGACGTTGAGCACAACTCAGACAACATTACGTCCAAAATGCGGACATAAAACGTCTTGAAGATATCTTAAAGATTGCTTTAAGACATATATTATTACGTTTTATGTCTCGTAATAGCGATATCACACAAAGTTTCCTAATAAGTATTTATCAAATAGAATATTTTTGGTTGTGGATAAAAAAATTCGAGAAACAGGCAACCTGTACCGCAAGGTGTTTCAAATGTGCTTCAAGGAAGTAAACCTCTAATCTGAAGAAATATGTGGTTCCTATACGACGATATATTTCCGATGTGAAATGCTTGAAAAAGTTTATTAATTCATGCTAAAAAGTGTGTTTAAGCCGAAAGAATTTTTGAGCATCTTTTATAAAGGTTTAAACAATAAAGAAAATTAAATAACATTTACTTCACGTAATTCATGTTTCTTTACAAAATTCAATATTCCAATAAATAACTCTGAAATCGTTCGAAATCGAACATATTTTTATTAGACATTTTTTACTTGTTTTCATGTGCTAAAGCTGCTATATCAGTTTTAGTACTGAGTTTAGGAACACCCTGTATGTGATTATGTATGAAACATTTTTATTGGATTCTTCTTAAAATTAATACTCTTATTACCGTCGTCTTCCTTCACTTCTTTATACTTCTTCTTCAATATTCTATGTAAAAAGTTACGGAATTTGTTATCACTTATTCTACGCATGAATTTGGAAAAAGAATCCTTTATCTGATTACGTAATTCTGTAATTTCCTTCGTTTTAATGTCAACTTTGTCGGTTGCTATCTGTATCTGAAAATATCAATTATTATATATAATTCTTACACAACAAAGTTAATTATTTATGAAAAGTTCCATTTGTATTTCCCATGCGTTCCCAGTCAGAAATGTAGAGTTGAATCAAAGTTGATTCAACGTCGATACGGTTGACAACGGGTTGAGTCGATATAAAATCGATATTCCTGTAATTGACATAGTTGATTCGACGTCGAATCAATGAAAAACTAATATCGACATTGATTTGACGTTGAATCAACAACTTAGTAAGAAATTATAACTCTATTTTATTATATATATATATACTATATATATATAATGTTCTTATATATATATATTTTATAATATATATAATGTTATAATGTTCTTTTTGATTCCTTACAGTGTGTACTGACGAAGATTATAAGTATAATTAAATAAATGTTATATATGTATAATGATATAAACTCGTCAGTAGTGCACGCGAAACGTGCACCTATTATGTCCGGTAACATTATATATATAAATGGTGTATTCTTTAACATAAGTAATGAAAGAAATAAAATTGCTTCTTTTCCTCACTTTTCAATGTGCGTAATACATTTTTATACTGAAAAAATAAAATCAACCTTATTTCAACCTAATTTCGATTTTCGACCTTAAATCGATGTCGATATGATATAGTTGAATAGCCGTTGATATTTTATACACGATCGACGTCGAATCGATCAGAATTTCGACATTCCGTTTTCGATGTTGATTCGATGTCGTATCAACTCAACATTTCTGACTGGGTTGTATATTCCGAAGCAAAAGAATTTTTACAGAATGTTCAAATATTAATGAAATATGTTCAGAATGTTGTACGAACATTTCTTGTGTCACGAAAATCACTCACGAGCAGTAGGTATGCATCCCCGCCGACAGGAAGCTGCGGCGGAGATATTATATATAATAAGTCATATATGGTAAAATACATTAACTATAACCGCGCATTTCAGAGTTCTTTTTTGCAAAATTTTCCCATCTGCACTCTTGAAACGAAACTGCTCTTTCTAAGACTTCATTCCTTTATGTTTTATAAAAATTTTCATATTTTCAGTTTTATCGCGAGTTAAAGGATTTTCCAAACATCGTTATCTCACGATCATCTTGGAACAATTAAATAAAAAAAAAAAACATTAACTAACCTTTTGCCTCACCGCTGTGACTTCTTCTGATTTAAGATTAACTTGGTCATGTAATTTGTTTTCCATTGTTTCATATTCTTTCAAGATAATATATTCTTGACGAAGGGTCAGTAAAAATAAATTAAGATTGACATTCTCGGTAACAATGTTCAATCTATCATGTTCTAATTTGTCTAATTTCTTGTCTATATTTTCACATTTAGTTTGTATGCATCTTAATATGCAATCCTGTTCATGCTTTTTTCGCAATACACGAGAAAATTTCATTTCTCGTTCCCATAAATTCTCGATGTCATCACTTAAATAAAATAACTTCATATTATCTTTGACAGTGGGTTGGATCTTCATTTTCTTTTCTGTAACAGAAAATAATACGAACTTCTACTAAAAAATATATACATACACATATAGAGTTTTTTTTACTACCAAGCAGTCCGCTAAAAGTTCTTGCACTTTTTGGAAATTTCTCATCTAGAAGTAGCACTTCGTATTCTTCGTCTGGACAAACAGATATCTGTTCTGGCAAAACTGTTGTTCGTCTTTGCTCCATGTCTGCTTTCAATGTATATTCTTCGATCTATATATGTGGAAAAGTTAAAGCACATCACAAAAAAACATAAGCTGCATGAACATAGCATACGGCTGAATTAATGAACATTTTATGTAAATCAATTTTTGGCATTTCATGTTGCTCATTGGTTCAGCAACCTTACGTTAGGTTTTTCCAGCCTACTTCTATACGATATATAACTTAAATTCTTCCAATAAAATATCTCAACACAGGATATCAGTGTGTAAATAATTTACTCTATACATGTATTCATGGAAAAAAGTGTTGGCTCTTAAAAGCAATCATATTTTATTGATTTAATTCGTCAGAGCATATATCGTTAATTTAATTTATTGTTAAATTCTTCCTATACGATATAATATAAATTTTTACATTTTTCTTATCTTATCAATAAATACCCGCTAAACACAAAGTAACAATAACATTACATCAATATTATAATTTCTCACTCAATGATGTAACACACGTACGTTACATAAACAGTTACATTATTAAATAGGAAATTACAATATTTTAATGTAGTGTTATTTTTACTTTGTGAGTGGGAATACGTACCATTACTTTTTTCTCGGGAAATTCTATATTAATATTTAACGCAGGAATAACTGGCAAAGGTTTCACACTTTCTAACGGTATCTCGGCGTGAATTTTTTTGAGGAATTTTATTAAATGTAGAACTTCCATGTGTAAGTGTTCCTTTTCTGCTCTTACAGCTTTCAATCTTGTGTTGAAAGCTTCTTGCTGATAGTAAAGCTGTAGATATCAACAAAAGTTTTTTGTAAGACTTTTAGAAAATATGTAATATGAAATCATATATAATTAAAAATAAATAAATGAAAGCAAATGAAATAAATGAAAATAAATAAACATTTTTTTATTTGCAAACCTTTTTTCGACAATTTAGCAGTTCCTTATATTTCGAAAAGAGAGTATCTCGTTCTTCCGACAGCAAGTTGAAAGTTGAAGAGGTCTTTAATTTATAATCACCGATAGTTCTTTTTGCTTCCTCTATAGCGAGTACATCATACATCTGATTAACAGATGTATCTGGCTTTTCGTTATATATAACTTTCCACTGAATAAAATAAATGATTAACTTACAATGATAATAGTAAGAAGACTTACTTTATATTAATATCTATAAATTATACTAACTTCTTTTTCGCGTTGTTCCAATCTTGTTTTTCGCAAAGTATATTTACGTAACATTTGATTTAATTGAATTCCCAGGCTGCTATCCATGTCTTCGTAATTTATATCTTTTAAGAAATCCATGGTTGGTTTCGTTTCTGTTACCTCAATTTCTTCTTCTATTTTCGCTTTATCCTTTTCTCGGTCCTTCATCTCGTAATGTTGCATTTTGACATCCGTTATACTACTCACATAATAAACAACGATATGTTTTAGACAAGTGAATTGTTCATAATAAATATTTATCAAGCATACAAATTACCTATTTCCATTCGCTTTTTCATCGGATATATGCGTATGTTTTATCGTATCAATATGCGGCAAAGTAACGTCAATATCCAAGATGCGTTGACGCAAAGAATATACCATGTTATCTGGTTTCCTGTATCAATATAGATATCACATCATTCGTGTTACATTTTTAAGAGTTGAAGATTTTCACTTACGATATTTTGCAAACAACAAATGGTAAACATGTAATTGGTTGAATAAAATGTTCTAGAAGTTTTTGTAATCTAAGCTCGCTTTTCTCCACTTTAAACGCCAATTTCTCACATACTGTAGACATTTCCGCGTCCAATTCTTTATTTAGATCAGTTATAATTCTAAAATCTAGTTCCAATTCTTTATGACTTAATTGATGAAACTTTGGCAGTGTGTTATTCCTAATATGTAAAAATATGCATTAATATGATTTTTTATATTTGATCCTATCTAATTAACAATTACACAAAAGTTTTGCTGAAGTATCCAAAAATTGCCCCGCTATATAATCTTATGGAAACTGGAGTAATAACTTTAATAAAATTGAGGGGGGTGGGGTGTCCAATTTTCCTAAGGGGGTAAGAGAAGGGGGGGTGAAATGTGCAATTTTCCTAAGATTATGGTGGGGTCCTTTAAATCTGAAAATAATTATTGGTCTATCTTAAATAATTATATGGAATCTCAAGCTGATTACTAGGATGTTAATATTTTACAAATTTTTTATACAATCTTTTATACAAACAATATATAACTTAAATAAAATAACGCAGTTTTGTGATATAATAATTTTTTGGAGAATAATTGAAGCTATTACCAAATTTTTTTGGGTTGGAATAAGAAGATCCTTTAATAAGAATATATTATTATATACTTTAGCAAAACTGTTCTTTTCGAGTATATATATTTGACATCTAAACCTTTCTACAATCTTGTTATATTCTTCGCTTAATTTGAGTAATATCTCTAAAGTCTGACGTTTACTTTGTTTTGCCGCAGTCTCAATTCTGTTATATTCAGCTTGTTGAATCATCTCTTCCAGACTTGCATAATCAATTTCTTCGATATCTTCAACACTGGTGTATGGCTATGTCATCATATTAAAAATTAATTTATTAGAATTAGAGCATGTATTTACAAGAAAATCAGTCTCGATATTATGTTAACTTCAAGTTAACATAATAAAATGTTTTGAGAAATAATTAATAAATATGCAAACATACTAAGGCTAAGGTCCCTTTGGTTTTTTCGAATTCAATTTTCTCGAATGGTGTATCATCGTTTATTTCATAAGAAAACAAATTTCCATCGTATCCACATGTAAATAACATCTTTTGATCATGGCTGAGAATAATTTTTGGGATGTAACCATTATAATTATCGTGCATTGGAATTATCCAATAATCTGAAAGATCTGTATAATTTTCAGGTTTCCATCTACAAACTCGTATTTCTCCATGCTCCATTCCCAGAAACAAATACTTCCTTTCTTTACTAACGAAAACATAAGATGAACAAACAATGAATATGCCATATGGACACAAAATTAGTTTTTGTGCAATATAAGAATTAATTTTATTTGCGCTTACTAAAAGAGACAACTTCGTATTTCTATGTCATCTGCGTCGTATATTGCGATACTTTTAGTAGGCTCCTTCCCAATATCTTCAGTAACCTCTGGGCTTAGATATTCGTACATATATCCCGCGTCAAATCCTGCTATTGACAACCAAATAATATCGCGACTAATATATTGTGCTGTTAATATCTTGTTTGGTATTTTTGGTATATATACTTCCGGTAATGGCTCTTCTTCTTCTATATCTGTTGAAAATTTAATTGTCTTACTTTAATTTTATCAATTTTGTTTCTATAATTTAAAACTAAATGATAAAGTTAGAATAATACTTTATCATTTCAGAAAGATAAGTTAATAAATAATTTATTAACCAAAAAATGCCTCCTCGTTAATTTCTAATCCAGGACTTTCAGCTGTTAATCGCTCTATTTCTTCACGTCTTTTCGCTATTTTCTCTTTTTTCTCTTCCTCTCGATGTAGGCGTATTAATTCTCTTTGAATAGCAGATTTTACAGAATGAAATTTAAATACTTTCGGTTGACACTGAACGAGTTCATATGAAGCGATAGTGTACGGTTGAGGTGTGCTTGGTAATATAACTTCTACGCAATCACCTTGTGAACATCCAATTAATAATGTAGTTTCCTGTAAAATGGGATTAAATTGAGGACAATTATGGATAATTTGGTGTTAAATTGTAATTATATTATTTACACATTGTGGTTTCCATGTGAGACACGTGATTCCTGAAGGTACTTTAATGAAACCAATTGGCGTAATGGCAGGAAAAGTTTCAGTGATTACAATTTTGAAATTAAACACAATTGAATCTTCACCACCAGTCACCAGTAGGCTGAAATATTCTTACATGGAAATTATTCTTACAATTATATATTTATGGAAAAATTTTGGCGAAAATTTTTCTTTGAATTCTTCATATAATTTTTCAGAATTTCTGTATAAATTTATAACTTTTTAGAAAATTTGTAATTTTTTATAATCAGTTTTGAAATATTCTAAAATTTCCCATTCTATGATTTCCGACAAATTTATTCGATATTATTCCGTTTTTCCTAGAAAATATAATAAAAATAATCTAGGAAATAATTGATCCGATTCATTCCGAATAATTCCATAATATCCTACTTTACTGTGTAGTACATATATAAGTGTGCATGCTATACGCACCCACAGAAGTTTATTGAAATCAGTGATTACAGACCGTAAGGCGTTCCTTGTAAAATAGCGATTATTAAAATAGTGTTTTTCGTACTTGCATGATGGATTTAGAGACATTGCGGTTATTGCCATTTTGTGCGGTTTTATGACTTGAATCAGCCTAACATAATCTCCTTTTACATTATCAATAGTGTCAGTCGTTGATACCGCTACAACAATTATACGAATAACACCACTTTCGAAAGCACAAGCAAGTGTTGATCCTGTTGTTTCAATCTTGCGAAAGAAATATTTTATACATTATAATTTTATAAAAATACTTATTATATATGTAGAAAATGTGAAAATCCCTTACGGGATTGTAGTCATATATTATTATAGTAAAACTAATCGTAAGCAATAAAATATCAAAAAATTAACATAATTTCTCATGTTATTTTGTAACTCTATAAAAAAGTGTCGTAGATAAATGTAGATTTCAATGTAATAATATTTTCTTTTATCAAATATTTTCTTAAATCAAATAACTTATCTGAATAATTTTTCTTAAAAATGTAATGTGTTTTCAAGATAAAAATATCTAATATTCTATTTTGAATACCAGGTATATTTGTTATAAATCTACTTTAATATTAAAAGAATGTTTATTGAAATCATATAAATAGATTTATAAAATCCAACTTTTACCTGACATGGGAACCAGACAACTTGACTGCCAGCGTCGTTAAATTGATGTGCCAAAATTAACTTTTTTTCTAGATAATTATAAATATACAACTGTCCGGTTTTACTAAGTGTAGCTACAAAAGGACCCCACGTTGCATTATCCATATCGACTATAGCTCCCGCATGGCATGTAAATATTTTTTGTGGTAGTTGTGTTGTCCAGTCATGGAAATCTATTAGCCAAATTCCACCATTTCCATCCTTAAGTGGAAAGGTATTTAAAATTTTCATAAATACTTCACTCATTTTTTTTTCTTTAGTTTATTTTATGTTAAATTTGCTAATGCCGCTATTAATGGTTTTTAATATTTATGTTATAGTGGAAATTTGTTACTTACTTGTGCATACCAAAATGTACTCTCTAGGCTATCTGGTTCTTGTTTACATATACACATTAGCATTGCACTTGTTCCATCACTCTCACTGAGATGATATTCATAGATAGGTTGAATTTCTAGAAAACGTTTACCATTTTGGGGATTTGCTTGATCTATAGTTTCATAAAACCAAATTCGAATCCATCCATCCATACCTATATAATTCATTCGTAAAAATTAGAATATTGTCTCATTTAGTCTAACTCTCTAGATATGGATATTCTAACTACATTTTAACTTAAGATAACATTCTGGTGAAAAAATCTCACAATATTCCATATTATTTAAAAAAATTTCTTATATTTGTAAATTGTGAAGATTTTTGAAAAAATAATATTTTAATTTCTTTCACGTTTTATTGATTTCTTCTAAAATTATAAAATGAGAAATCTTAGAAATCTTACAATTAGAATATTTCAGAAGTCATATTATATGTATGTAGATAATTTTAAAAAAGGTGAATTGCACCTTCTCAATACTTCTGAAAAGTATTCTAATTCGTATAAAAAGTCTAAAACATTTTTTTAAAAAGTCATAAAATTAGAACAAAAATTTATTATAAAAAATTCTGAAATTTACATAGAAATTTTGAAAAATTTTACAATGATTCTAAGAAAAATTTTCATCAGACTATTTTGATAAAGATAAAGATGTTTTAAAATTCTCATTACAAAACTTCTACATTGTTAATAAATTAATGTTCTAATATCACATGATAATTTATAAAGAAGCTTTTAGAATTGTATCTGATTCAGTTCTACGGAATATGTTTTTTTAACTTCTTTTATTGCCTTTTCTATTATTCGTCACCATAATAATATAAAAGACTTTTATACCAATTGATATAAGTTCCCCATTCATATATTCAAATTGTGTAATCGCTTTAGCATGACATGGCTGCCGATTTTTTCTACATATTTCAAGAGTAATTGAACCTTCTTCCCATAGCAAAATGTTTCCCCACTCGCAGCCTGATACAACCTAAAAACAATATAATTCTATATAAGTTAAGAATGACTCTAAATTAAAAAATCTGGTACATTCGAGTAACGTTTACCTTGCCGTCTGGCATGATATATACACCTACAATGTCAGAGATCTCTGTCTGACCAAATTTACCAATTTCATCTTTTAATTTAAGCCCGGTAAATGTTTCGGAGATTTTCCAAAATTTTATATGTCCCAAACCACTTGTCGCTAAATATCCAGGTAACGACGAAGATATCGTTATATTGTAAACATTTCTATTGTAAGATTTACATTTTAATGCTATTTCAGACTTCTGCCAATCCCAGAAAGTAATTGTGTAATCTGGATGTCCTCCTTGTGATACCAGCAACAAACCATCTGCACTGCAAAAATATGTAAAATATATAATAAACCAAATATTTAAAGTATATATTGAAGCGATAATGTAATCTTACGCTTTAAATTCTTTATAAAATACCTGTATACTAAATAACAATAAGACTTTATCGTGCCATTGTATAAAATTGTCACGATATCCATTGAAGGCCATTTGTAAATTATTATTGGAGGTTTAATACCATTTTCACCAACGGCAATATGGTCAAACATCGGATTTTTCTAAAGAAGCGGCAAAATAATACCGTGAGAAATCATACTGCATGTTTTCGAAATTTTTCTTTTCTTTTCAAGAAAAATTTATTAATGAAAAAATTGGACTTTATTTTTTATTGCATTTTTGTTTTTCCAGGATTCTTTGTATACATTAAGTTTTTCCAAGCAAGTACAGCTATATGTTTCTAATAGATATAAATAATTAAAGAATACCGTCACGTGTCCAATTCCACCACCCGTATATCCTCTTCTAAACCACAGCTTTTTAGTTACGGTATTTAAAAAATGTAAAATGTTACCAGAAGCAAAGACGACAACGTTCGGTTCTACCACGCAAAGATTAAAATATCTCTGACAATCGTACGAAAACGAATGACTATAATATCATCTAAGAAACATATATTTTCAATTTTGTGAAACTTCTAGTTGTTTCATTACTCAAGCAACACAACCCTGGCAAAAAATTTTTTCAGAATTTTTCATATAATTTTTCAGAATTTCTATATGATTTTTCAGTATTTCTATATAATTTTATAACTTCCTCACATTTTTTTTTATACGAATCGGAACATTTCTCAGAAAATCCACATCTTTTCTCAGAATTTTTCATATGTGTTACTTATGAAATATCGTAAGATTTCTAAAAGTTTTTGTAAGTATAATTTCTGATAAAATATAAAATTCAAAAATTAAAAAATATATTTTTTTTAATTATAGGAAATTATGAGAAATTATGAGAAAAAAAAATTATGAGAAATTTCAGAATATTTCAGAATTCACTTTTATGAAAAATTTTGAGAGAAGATGTGAACTTTTCGAATATTCCTGAGTATTTCTGAAAAATGTTCCAATTCGTGTAAAAATTATGAGAAAAATTTTCATCAGGAAAGTCACAATTACATCAAAATAACGTTAAAATGAATCGTGATCGCAAAGTGAAATTATTTTAAGAAAGAGAGAGTCATTCTTTAACGTTAATTTAATATTATTCATATAAGATCTAATGCGTCCAATGCGTCATTCGCAATATCAGCGAACATTCGCGCGACTCGAAAAATCTAGCGATCATTTTACAGTTGTATAACAAAAAAAGGATACTGAAACTGTAAAATGTTCATGGGCACTGTTCCATTCATCACGCGTCTTGCTCCAGATACGTATTTATTCGAGTCATAGGTTTTCTCATGTATTCTGCCATCATCTCTTTCTATGTTCCACTTTTTTTCGTCATGAAACTCGGGTTGGTGTTTCTGCCACTCGTCTTTTGACGTTTCATCTTTCGACATTTTATTAAAGATGTATTGATAATAAATTACTAATAAATATTTCTGTTTGTATTATCACGATATATTATCTGTTTGTATTAACACGATCTTAGGAAGTAGATACAGCGCATTTGCTAATACATATATAGTGATATGTATGGTAATATGTGCAGCTTCGAGAATAGTAAAGTTTCCAATATGTCTCCATAGATACGTAGTTTCTGTTTATTCGATAATCTCGTTTAGTTTTGTGTGCGTCTCTTAAAATACTTAATTTTAAAACAATACTATACAAAAAATTATTCTAATAATTTATAAAATTCAAACAGAAATTTTTATTCCTTTCGGATCTTACTACCTCATTCATTTGAATTTTTCCGCATAATTTTGAGATGAGATTCAGCAATGAATTGGAATCGATGAAAATACGTAAATTGGGCCACATGCTGGATTCACACTGCATCCGATTTTCGTCGTACGACGAAAATCGGATGCAGTGTGAATCCAGCATAGATTCAGATGGTAATCGAATCAGTCATTTTCGATTTAATCAGAATCTCATTATTTAAATCGAAAATCTGATTTAATCAGATTTTTTATTTAAATATTGAGACTTGCACCAGAGAGAAACCTGAGAGTATACATCCCGGACTTTTTTGTGTATCAAACCTCGTAGGGTAATGTCCACGTTTTGGTGGTTCTTTTTCGTACTAATAACATGAATTAGACAAAGACGAATAATCAACTTTGATTGTTTATCCTTGTCTAACTCACGTAATAGTATGGAAAAGAACCACAAAAATGTGGACATTACCCTACGAGGTTTGGTACACGAAAAAGGCCGAGATGTCTGCTCTCAGGTTTTCTCTCTGCTTGCATCACATTTTTCGATGTTGATGTTACGACTTTGGCTGTGTTTCAAAATTGATTGCCAGTACTGAAAATCTATAGTGCACGTAACGTAAACTGTAGCATTTTCGGTGCTGGCAGTAAATTTGGAACACAGGCTTTATCAGCAGTATCGATAATGTACTTCGCATCCCCTACAGCACAGAATTGCACAAAAGTTGCAGTAACACTCCTGCAACATTGCATGTTACAGCAATATTGCAGAGATTTTGCAGCGATATTGCTGCAAATTCTGTGCTGTATGGGATCATTCTATAAAATTGATATCGTGTTTCAATCGTCATTTGAAAAAGGCCAGAAGCCGGTACGATTGCCATGGCTGGCCATGGCTCATGGCCACTCATGGCCGCCAATGGCCGCTCTCGATAGCTCTCAGGTTTCTCTCTGCCGTAACTGAATCGTGAAACTTTAGTTGTAGACATGCTATTAGGTCAGAATAAGGCCGGAATCAGACTAGGCATTGAAGATTGAGGTTGAAGATTGAAGATTGAAATTTGACCAATAAGGACAAAGAAATTTTAGCTCCTTTCGTTTCGATTGTTCAAATTTCAATCTTTCAATCTTCAATCTCAATCTTCAATGCCTAGTCTGATTCCGGCCTTATGC